CACAACCACCCGACAAACCAGGGCCTATGATTCCAGTATCCACCAGCAAACCGTATATGGATTGGCAGCAAAATCCCAATTTGTTCAGCCCTCACCACTTTGATGACTCGCAAAGTGGAATTCTACCTTACTGTTTCCCTCTCTTGGAACACGGCCAATGAACTGGAATTCTTTGAATTATTCTTTGACCAGCCATTGCTTGGAAATTATGTCAGGGAAAGTAATAAGTTTTTTCAGTACACCATGGCAAATACGATCTTATCACCACAGGTCAGACTACACAGGTGGAAAGAGACGACTGTTGCAGAAATGTATTTGCTTTTTGCAAACATAAGGCTTATGCCTCACGTCTATAAGCATAATATAAAGCATACTGGTCCACAGATCGGCTAATTTGTACCCATCCTTCAGTTGAAATAATACCAGTGAACAGGTTTTCTTACTGTTACGTATTTTGCATTCTCTGACCAAAACCAGGCTGACAGAAGTGACAGTTATAATACACAGATTAGAAATGTTTTCATGTATCTCAAACAACTGATTCAGGATATACTTTTATCCATTCAAGAATCTGTAATTGACGAGTCTTTGATTTTGGTTCAAAGGTAGACTGTCATTCAAGCTGTATATACGAGCAAGAGGAAAAACCGCTTTGGTATTTAAAAATTGTTTGACTCTGTCGATTGTGACAGTGGCCTGGTGTTGGATATGTTGTATTACAACGGTAGTAAAACATTGAAAGATTACCAAGATGTTATTGGGTCTATCATGTGGACGTAGTGAGAAACATAGATGGCACCTTATCTTGTAAGGGGCATTACATTATATACCGCTCACTGTACACCCCCCCCCCGCATTACTCAGTGATTTCATGCGTGTGAACAACAGACAGTGTGGTGTGGTACAGTGCGTTCTAATCGAAACATATGCCAAGGCTCTACGCAGGTGTTCGTGTATTGTGATGACGTGCAGGTGTTTACTGCCAATGATATCATGCATTACGTGGCAGGAAGACGAGATGTCACCACATTGTTGACAACATTCACGTATGAAATTGCAAGACAGTGGCATGTTGACCTCTGAGTGACTAATGAAACGTATTCGAAAACAGTGACAGGGATGATTATACACAAATCATGCGTTGGTTGACACGTTTGTGACATGCAGATTTGGTTTTGTTGACTGTGTTCGTAAGAGTTATGGTTACAAAGTGGTACATGAAACGTTTCTTCCATCTCATGGACATTTCAATGCTGAAATGCATATATTATGTGTACCAAAATCAGATGGTATCAGACCACCGTATGTGTGAATTATGTTTGTCTGTTGTCAGTACAACTCATATTGATGTACCAGGTAACGACACTGCAATACAAACATGGTCCTCGAATTCATCACAATATACCCAGCGTTATGAGAAGAGAAGGTGATCATTTCATAATACAGCTTCCTTAACTCAAAAGAAATTTGCTCAGAAGAGATGCATTGTCTGTGCTACAAACAAACGACGGCAACAAGACGCAAGACACTGGTTTATGTGTGAGGGAATGTAGGTGCCTTGTGCATGGTGCCTTGTTTCAAGGAGTTCCACAAGCTCCAGCAGTTCTTAAAACCATGTCCAGTGATTGTAAATATTGTAAATATATGATAGAACATTAGTATTATACAATATATGTGCATGATGTTTACTTGTAATAAAACAACAGTGGTAAACAATAATATGATAAAACTTTTAGTGCGGTTATTGTGTTATACAGTGAGTTTATATAATATACTTTATATACAGTATTGGTCTCTCAGGCCCCAAATGTTAGTAGGAATAGAAAAAAATGGAAATAGAAAGGAAAAAACAACTAAAACAACAAAATATATAATACGCGTATGTGGAATTCGTCGATGTTGCCGCCACCACATCATTTTCTACAAACTTCTTGGCACTGTATCTCGGTAAGTACTGATCAGATTCTAATTTTTTTTGTTTTATTACCTTCACAAAAATATGCTCTTTAATTCTGTAAGAAAAAATAATTTTTTTTTTTTTCCAAAATTTCTTGGACACTGGTGCGTGACTTCAGATTTTGGCCTTGGACCCTGAAAGGGTTAAACTGTCCAAACGTAGATATACGTTCACCTGCACAGTGCTCCGAATATTTTGAAAAATAATTTTTTTTTTCCTAATTGAAGAGCGCATTTTTATAAATGTTATAAGATTAAAAAAAAAATTTAATGTCAGTACTTACCGAGATATAAGCCCGAGAAGTTGGTGCTAAATGATGAGGTGTCAGCAACATGGAGCACTGCCGCTTGCAGAAATAATAAACATTTATCGTTTTCCAAATCTTTTCTATTTTTTGTTGTTTTCATATTATGATAATAACCACAGCCAATTCTTGTTGAGACAAATGTTTGGTGCTGAATTAGCAATCATACTGTCACAAACACACATGTTCACACTGATAAATGAATTTGTACACCTGGTTCAATCACATACTATTGTTTACATATATATACAAGTTATTTACAAGTCCCATTTATATTTCTAGAAGTCCACCACTGTATGGTACTCCAAGAAGCATGGATTCATACAGAGTGCCACCCCACATTGCTGACACATGTACCATGTGTCTTTTCACACTCGGAGTTGCTATTTAGTGTAAGCACACACAACACACTTTTTCTGAGAGTACTTCTTCTTTGGAGTAGATGGTAATGTTACCAGGCAGTGACAGTTAGGGATTATTCGGTCGGGCACTTCCCCCCTCTTCTTGTGGAGTGACAGGTTGCTGTTGTGGGGTGACAGGTCGCTGTGGAGTAATAGGTATAGGTGTGGTACCATACTTTCTCGCTATCTGCTTGATGCATTGAGGGTGAATTCTGCATATCGGTGTCGCTTCCCAGTTTTTATTTCATATATGTTGAAGGCATTGAGCACTGCAATGTCTACAAGATGGAAAAACACTTTTATATACCATTTGCAACTCCTACACACACAGTCAACAACACTATCATCATGTCACATTTGTCGACTAGTCGCATATTGTTCGTATAGTCGATGACAGCAGCTGGCTTTACAACAGGTTCAATGTTGAACCTGCTCAGTCTGTGTTTGTACCATCTCGTTTCTGTGGATGGTTGACAGCAATCTCACATCCCGTTTGTCATGCCACATCAGTGCCATGATGTCAATGGCATGAAACGCTTCCACTAGACTTCCGCCAGTGAACCTTGGCATGTGTTTTCTACTTCTTCTCACTGTTCCACATATATCAGTATTGTTCACATGTAGGAAATCAGCGAGCATAGGGCTTGTATACCAGTTGTCTGTATATGCTGTATGACCTTTGCCAAGGTATGGCCCCATCATCTTGCGAACATCCCCAGAAATGCCCAACATGTGCCTGGTATCGCCAAGTGTATTTTTCCCTGTGTAGATAATGACATCCAACACAAGACCAGTCTCACAGTCACACACAACAAAGAGTTTTATACCAAAGCGATTACGTTTGCTTGGTATATATTGTTTGATATATATTGTCCCTTGAACAGAACCAAGAACTCGTCAACAACAACGTTCTTGAATGGATAAAAGTAGGCAATGAATTTTTGCTTCAGTTACATAAACAATTCCTGGATTTTGTATAAGAGGTCATTTCTGTTTGGCGTATTCCTGTCTGAGAAGTGCAACATTAGTAGCAACAGAGTGAATCTGTTGCAGGGAAGGAGGTCACGGAAGACTGGAGTACTGATGAAGTGGTCTGTGGACCAATAGTGTGCTATATTGTTCTTATATGTGTGTGGCATAAGCAGGACAGTGCCAAGGAATAAATACATTTCAGCCTCAGTTGTATCTTTTCACCTGCACAGCTGTGAAGACTCTGAAACATCTGTGTGGTCCATTGTATACTGGTAGTACATGTTGGTTTGGGTAACAATTAGGTTCATTATTAGCTCATTAAAGTATAGTTGAAAATAGTCTAACTCTGAGACTCATTTGTGATGGGACAGTGTGGCATGATGACACTTCCACTGGCATCAAAACTGAAAGGATGTGGCACAAATGGTGTACTTTCTGTCCAGTTCCATTCACAATCAGATGGTGCAGGGTGGACCTGTGGCATGGGGCATGGGGGAGCAGGAGGGGGGACAGCAGTGGAGGCAGCACATGGTTGAGAGGGTGCCGGTCAGTCCTTTGTCTGCCCACCCATCCACCCACCCAGGCACCATGCCACCCCCCTCTTTCTCCATCCCAGCATATTCACCTTCATCATCACTATCACTATCAGTGGCTGGGGTTTTGGATTGTGACCTCATAAGACCCTTGCCACCGACTGCATATGGCACACTGCATGAACGGAGGTTACGATGCCTGAAAGTACATTTCACTGGGGAATAATGATAATCACTTTCACTCGATGAATCGTCTATCAGCATAAAACTGATTTCATCATCGTCACTTATATCACTTTCACTATCGTTATCACCCAAACGCATGGAAAATGATAATTTTCTCTTGCGGAGTTGCCTTTGGGAAGTAACACTAGCAACCCCAGAGGTGCTGGGCTGAGGGTCTGTTGTGGCCACACTGGCCACCTTAGAAGTCTTGGGCCGAGGGTCTGGTATGGCCACACTATCCACATTGGCTACCCCAGAGGTCATGGCCTGAGGGTCATCTGGGTTATTAACAAAAGTTTCACTAATTCCTTGATCTTTAGTGGCTATATCGGAGTCAAAACCACTAAACTTGCATTTTGTATCACTTTCCGAGAATAGTAGTGTTAATACGACGAGGCGTCAGTGAATCATGGGGGTTTGCCATGTTGTTGACCCAAGATGGAGCTGGAACTAACTGATGTTACTACACGGTACCCCAGCATATCACGCCAATTTTGAAGGAATGAAAAACAAAATGTTGATCTACGTTCGGAGCCTGCCGCACGTCAACGTATATCTACATGTGAACAGTTTAAGGGTTAAATAAAAACAAACAAGTCATATCATACCTGGAGGAAAACCTGGTGGAGGTTGGTTGAAATCCAAGGCTGAAGGTATTGATGGAGCAGTTCCTGGTGGAGGGGGAAACTGTGGCTGTGGAGGAGCACCAGCATAGCCACCACTCTGAGCTGCTGCTGTAATAGTCATCAACATGTAAGTAGCTCCCTCTAATCCCAATTTTGAACAACATCAAATATGATAAACAAAATCACATATATATATATTTAAACCAATCAACAATTAATATTTTATAGTATTCTAAAGATACTACAATTTAGAAGTTTTAATGAAAATATAATGTCAGTAACATACACCCAAGTAACTGCAATACCTTCCATCAATAAATGGACACTATTCTCTATACAGCAGTGAAAATTTACCCATGACTGTGCCCATCCTGCTATCAAACACAACATTCAACAAATACCTAACCCAATGAAGAACTGATTCACTGCCTACCTAAGTTATACTTGATTAGTTGCTTTATCTTAAAGCCTTTCGGTGGCTGCATGAAAATCATTAAGGCTGCATATAACCTTCACACCAACAGTCAACGATACTTTTATTCCTAAAATTAGGATAAAAGGGCCCAAAATCTGGATCTCCCTGCTGGAAATCTCCAGATGTACTAACTCAGCCAACATTTTCAAAATTACCATTAAAAAACATCTCCCCTCCACAATGCATCCCAACATCAACTAATTATGTGAAAACTACATATGCCTATCATCAACATCAGGAACACATCAGAAACAAAATTCTCTAACTGTAAACATAAAATTCCTAAAATTGTTATTGCCTTCTTAATGTTAAGTTAGCACTAAGTTTGCTTATAATACTCTGCTATATATGGGCTTTCAATTTTGCAAAATCATTGTAGCATACCAAGATAAACCCTTCCCATTACTATAATATACCAATTGTAATACTATTGTTTTTTGCTACCTCACTACTATAAATCTTATCATAAAATTCCTGATTACCTAGCTTTCGTAATAATGTGAATTAATTAGCATTATAATGTACCACTCCATAACCTGTATCAATATAGAGTAATCAGTAAGAATTAGGATTAGTCCGCCTGAAATGCCTAGGCCTGCTAGGGGCTTTCTTTGTACCTCTACTTTATATTTTGTAATATGTAAACCTCACATTGTAAACTTTACAAAGAAATACAAATTTAAAATTTTGATTTTCTTAAAGTAAATCCAGTATATATATGTATATGTATGTGTATGTATATACACCTACCATCCGACTTATGACCTGCTCGACTTACGACCACTCGACTTACGACCGTGATTTTTATGCCAAATTTCTGGGAAATAAACAACTATTGTGTTGTACACAGTGTTTATCCTAAACCTTACAGTATAAAATACAGTACTAACAGCATAAAAAGTAAAGTAAAACATGAAACACCAAAATAAAACAATAAAATAAAGTCATTACAAAAATGTTTTGTTGATATTCAGTAGTAAAGTTTGACTTACGACCATTTCGACTTGCAACCGGTTTCTTGGAACCGAACTCGGTCGTAAGTCGGATGGTAGGTGTACGTATGTATAGTAGGGCCCTGCTTTACACTGTTTTCCTTTACGGCATTCCGCTAATACGGTCATTTCAAATTATGATCAAAACTCTCTATACGGCTCCCCCACTCGACTTTCTAATATGGTCACCGCACCGCACCCCACCCGGTTTCTTTACATTCTCTGTGAGCTCCATAAGTACCACGTCTCTCCATTATACATTGGACCCCCGCATACCGGATGCCTTGCATAACGGACAATCCGCATACCGGACGCTTTAATCGCTAAAATTTTGCCTCGCATACCGCCCAAAAACCCGCTCAGCGCCCTTCGTCCGAGACGCGTCCAATGTGCGGCCTGAGCCAGCCTCATATGTTCCGCCGGTGGCATTGTTTACCAGCCAGCCTCCGCGGTAACATTCAAGCATACAATCGGAATATTTCGTATTATTACAGTGTTTTCGGTGCTGTTTCTGGAAAATAAGTGACATGGGCCCCAAGAAAGCTTCTAGTTCCACCCTACAGCAATAAGGGTTAGAATTCCAATAGAGATGAAGAAAGAGATCATTGATAAGTATGAAAGTGGAGTACGTATCACCGACCTGGTCAGGTTGTACAAGAAACCCAAATCAACCATCTCTACTATTGTGGGCAACAGAAAGGCAACAAGGAAGCTGTTCTTGCCAAAGGTTTAACTGTGTTTCGAAACAGAGATCGCAAGTGATGGAAGATGTTGAGAGACTCTTATTGGTGTGGATAAATGAAAAACAGCTAGCAGGAGATAGCGTTTCTCAAGCTATCATAAGCGAAAAGGCTAGGAAGTTGCATGAGGATTTAATTAAAAAAAGGCCTGCAACTAGTGATGATGTGAGTGAATTTAAGGCCAGCAAAGGTTGGTTTGAGAGATTTAAGAAGCGTAGTGGCATACATAGTGTGATAAAGCATGGTGAGGCTGCCAGTTCGGACCACAAAGCGGCTGAAAAATATGTGCAGGAATTCAAGGAGAAAATAGAAACTGAAGGACTGAAACCTGAACAAGTGTTTAATTGTGATGAAACAGGCCTTTTTTGGAAAAAAATTCCCAAAGCAGGACCTACTTTCAGGAAAAAAAAGGCACTCCCAGGAATAAGCCATGAAAACGGGCTTATTTTGTTGAGGGGTTTTCCAATGAGGGGTGTTTGCAAAGTTAACCCTTTATTAGTTATCACTCTGAAACTCCCAGAGCTTCAGGCAAAAAAAATGTCCTCGAGGATAATTTGTGTGTGCTGTGGAGGGCAAACATAAGGCATGGGTCACTAGGGACTTTTTCATAACGGGTTACCCAGCTTTGCCCCAATGGAAAGATTCCCTAACTAAAAAGAAATTAAACTTAAGTCCCTCCGGGTGTTAACAAGCCCTGGCATCCTACAGATGGCAGAGCGATTTTAAAGGGGGACTGGCTTCTTTAAGGTGAAGTTTTTGCTCCTAATACCCCTCCCTGCAGCCCAGGACCACGGTTTAAATTCAAACTTCAAAAAACTGAAACCCAAAAGCTCTGTTGAAATGCTTTGTAGTGACCCAAAAACCCAAATGACCTAAGGAGTTTGGAGAGATCATTTTAAAATTTCCCATTGTATAAACCCCTTTTAGGTAAGCTTGGGGAGGGGGTACTAAGAAGACTTGAACTCGCTTGGAAGAAACTGTGGCCAAATGTGTAACAAAAGGGATTTTGAAGGGGTTTTAGGCTAACCCTAAGGGAATACCAGTTAGGAACAATTTTCAGGGAAGTCCTTGGGGGGTTTGGGGGTTAGTGGGGGGGATGTGGAAATTGGTGGGGGACGACAATGAAAAAACTAACCCTGATGACTGAAATCAACTTCAAGACAAAGGCCAGACCTGAGGGAAAAGGTTTTAAAAGGGGGGGAAGAGAAATTGAAGGAATTGCCCACTACAAAAATTAAGGGAAAACGTGCAAATGGCTTAATGCAAAACCTTTTTTGATGAAAAACACCCTCACACAGCTATTGCAAGCCGTGTTGGGAACCCGTACACGACAAAGTTTAAACACTTAGGGAATCATAAAGGAACGAGATACAGGCCACTTGGACAGATATGTTTGGCAAAAGAAGTCCAGGGCTTTGAAGCGGGCCTAGTGGCATTAAAAGAAGAAGGGAAGTAAATCCCGAAAAGGACCGACACCCAATCTTAATGGGAAGGGATTTCCCCCTTTTAAACACTAACACTCTCTCCCCTCCTCCCCTCCCCCCAATCATCACCAATCTTCAATAAAAGTAAGTGTTGTAATTGGCTGCCCCTTTTTAGTTTGTGTGTTAAAATTAACATTTCATGTGGAAAAATTTTTTTTTTCATACTTTTGGGTGTCTTGCACGGGTTAATTGATTTCCATTTTTCTTAAGGGGGGAAAAAACATTCGCAAACCGAAATTTCGCTAAACCAGCCTCTTGCTGGGTTAAGGGCGCTAGCGGGGGCCCCTGTATTGGAAACTCCAAATTTTACATGTTTTTTTAAACCCCTTTAGGTCCAAGGCCCAAAAACTGAAGGGTGCCCCAGGGCCCCAAGAAATTTTGAAAAAAAAAAAAAAAAAAAAATTCTTACAGAATTAAAGATGAACATTAAAATGGTATAAAATACTGACAGGTTGTTAGGTAAGACACATATGCAACAGTTAGGTATCTTTATTTCGAAATGTTTCGCCTACACAGTAGGCTTCTTCAGTCGAGTACAGAAAAGTTGATAGAAGCAGAAGAGACTTGAAGACAATGTAATCAGTCCATCACCCTTGAAGTTTTGAGATGGTCAGTCCCTCAGTCTGGAGAAGAATATTGTTCCATAATCTGAAACAATATGGAGTTGAAGTGATAGGATGGAGCCTTATATAGCGCCAGGAGGTGAGACGTAGGTCACTAGTAGAGGTAAGGACGTAGATGTTGGGAGGTCAGGTCCCCCTCAAATCCAGCCATTCTCACTAGTAGAGGTTGTCGAAGTTGATTTCAGGTCTGTACCAAGATACCCTTGTGTTGCAGTGTCTGACAGAGTGAACATTAAAATGGTATAAAATACCGGCAGGGGGACCTGACCTCCCAACGTCTACATTCTTACCTCTACTAGTGACCTACGTCTCACCTCCTGGCGCTATATAAGGCTCCATCCTATCACTTAAACTCCATATTGTTTCAGATTATGGAACAATACTCTTCTCCAGACTGAGGGACTGACCACCTCAAAACTTCAAGGGTGATGGACTGATTACATCGTCTTCAAGTCTCTTCTGCTTCTATCAACTTTTCTGTACTCGACTGAAGAAGCCTACTGTGTAGGCGAAACGTTTCGAAATAAAGATACCTAACTGTTGCATATGTGTCTTACCTAACAACAGAATTAAAGATAATATTTTTGTGAGGGTAATAAAACAAAAAAAAATTCTGATCAGTACTTACCGAGATACAGCGGCGGGAAGTTGACCCAAAATGACCAGGTGGCAGCAACATCAGTGACTTCCGCAAAATCACATTTTTTTATTTTACGTTTTTTATACTTTTTTCTTTTCTTTTCAGATTTTTTCTTTTTATGGTAACATTTGTGGCCTGTGAGCCCAATATAATGTATATTGTATAAGTGTACACTCATTGTA